CGGGTGTCTTTCCCGAAGGACTGCATTCTGTCATCTTTAGTCTCCGGATCCAGAATGGGGGTGCTCCCAGCCCTGCCCGCGCCCTCCCAGCTGGTGTCAGGACGCTCGCCGGGGTCCCGGAGCGGTGCTAATAGGGCTCGCCCCTTCCTGGCCATCTTATCCCCGTGGGTGCCACAGAAACTCCCGAGTGACCCTTTCTGGCCGTGGCCTCGTCCTGCGGCTGTGCCGTCGGCTGAAGCGTGCCAGAGGGAAAAGGAGCCCCGGGCAGCAGCCGAGCCGCCGAGCAGCGCTGCCCCGATTCGGCTGCCCCGGCCCGCAAGGGCAGCACCAGGCCCCGGGGAGCCGCAGCTCAGGCCGTGCACCGTGGAGGGTAGGCCAGCGGGAAGGGCAGGAGCAAGAAATTAGGACAAACTAGAGGTGGATGCAGCGGGATTAGATAGACTGCCCCTCCCTGCCCCAGCTCCAACCGGAGGTACTGAGGAAGGAGAGTTTCCCGCAGTCCCCTGGCCTGGATGCCTGCACTGTGAGCCCTCCTCTCCGTGAGGGCTTGGGGCTTGACTGATGAGGCCTAGCCTGCCCCATACCCCCCAGGGAGGATGTGCAGCCGGCCAGAACACTGAGCTCTTTGGTCTGGGAATCTCTGAACGTACCTGCCCTTGTGTCCCAGATAAACCACGGGTGGAAGTGAGGAGCTGACGCAAGGGCCTTCACTTCCCCCGTCTGGGGTAGAGGTGCGAGATGCTAGAAATGGACATTTTGGCAAGAGCTCAGACAGTGGGGAAAAGCTTCAGCAGCACCTATGGGGACTTCAGGGCAGGGCTCAAAAGAGCAGATGAGGGAGCGTGCTGTCTTCAGCACTGCAAAGTTCCATCAGCCCATGGCCAATGCTGCCCATGGGATAACTCATCTGATCAGACGGATCATGGAAGCAGGTTCAACCAGGGGATCCACAACCAGAGAAATCAGTACCATGACCTCAGCCGTGCAGACCAAGGTCAGGGAAACTCCTCAAGATGGATGTTTTCTTCTTCCATTTTTTTTTTTTTTTTAAATAATTGAAAAGAGTTAAGTAGAATTAAAATTAGCAAATAAATATCTCAAGGGGAAAGCTCTTCTGGAGGGATGCTAACCCAACAAGTTACAGAAGGCCTGTAGCAAAGTCATTCACACAAACATGACTCACATCTCTTGTTCAAACACTCAGGCTTTAGTTGTGTGACCTTCCCCTTGCAGATCCTTGCTTGTAGGGGGCCCAGTGCAGCAGCTGCTGGTGGGGCTAAGTGACCCAGAGGGTCATTGGGGCTGTTCTACACCTGAAATCGACCCAGGACACAGGTAACTCCTCTGCCACCAGGTTATGCCACGAGTGGCTCCATCAGGAGCTGAACACTGCCTATCTTAGGCACTGGATGAGCAAAATATTGCACTTCACACTTTGTGGGAAGAAAATAAAAATAATAGAAAAAAAGAAGGGGGAGGGTGCAGAAGGAAAAACCCAACATATTTTAATGTAAATTTGCCTAAATTTCAAAATGTTGAATGCTGGATGTGGAAACCCTACAAAACTTTTCCCACAAATTACGGTACATTCAACTTCTGGTGGTGCTTCTGTTACACCAACTTGGACTGCCAGGTTCTGGTCAAGCTGGTTGTGTCAGCCTTCTGAGATGTGTGGGTGTAGGCCATTGCATCATTCCTCTTTTCCAAAGTTTTTTACATTGAACATTTGCTTTGAAATCAAATGAAATATTGTCTCAACTGTCCCAATGACAGTTTGTATGTGATGATGATGATAATATGTGACAATTACCTCCCAACCCCTGAATGACACATGCAAGCATTGATTACTACAAGAAAGATCAACTAACTCCATTTCCTTATTATTTTTAAGAAATTGCTAAATACTGCAATGAAGAGGAATCTCACTGTTTATCTTCTAGAAACAGAGGGAAATAGCAATTTATTCACTGAGGCACATACATCCACAGAGTTACATATACAATCTATCAACTCTATCTTTGCAGTTTTAAAATATCTTTGAGTTTTGCAGTCTTAGATTTCAGAGTCTGTGATGATTTTTCTCACCAAGCCAAGGTTCACTTTCCCAGGCTGCTGCAGGCCTGTTGACTCCCTTCTGTTACAGTATGGGATGACAATGCTGAGAGGGTGGGCAATACTTTCTGTGGAACTAACCCCTCCTCCCAGAGCTTCAAGGCTGGAAAAGACCCACTTGTGATTATAGAAGCAAGTTAGACACAGGTGAACAGGAGAAGCAGAGAATCAACAGTTTCCAGATTCCATCTCGGCAGATTTTAGGGGAAGAGGGGACAACCCCCTCAGCCATACCCTCCATGAAGTCCCCCTGGGAAGGAGTCACAAGGACCTCAACCCTTTGGCTCTTTGGTCTCCCCAGCCTGGCAAGTGAGGGAACTGCCCGCTAGGGTAACCAACATCCCCAGCCACCCAGCTGGCATGTGGGCTGCTGGCCTCTGCAGTCAGCTCGGGCAGAGAAATGGTAGTGGTATGGATCAGGGAGATTGCCTATTTCTTTTCCAATTCCAGGCTAGAAACTTCAGTCCTGCCTTTCTTTTCCCTTCCCATTAGACGTGGTTACGCTGACTCTGACTCTGCCTCAAGCCCTGAAGCTGGCCCAGGATGTGGGGTAGTGCCCATATCAGGCTCTCTCCATCCTACCCCAGCCCTGCCCATGCACCTGGCCTCTCCTCCAAGACAGCCAAGCAGCGCAAGTGCCACTGTGCTGGGGCTGCCTCTCTCTTCAGTGTCTAGGGTGCTTGCAGGCAAGTCAAATTGGAGACATACCTCTGAGCTGCAGCTCTGAAGTTAGGGATCAAACATGATAAATAAACATGATTGTTGAGGGAATTATTTGCAAAAAAATGTTTTGGCAGTTTCACAGGTTGAAGTCAAAAGTGTATATTGGATTAGTGGAAAATCCACCCAAGGAAAAGATGAGAGAAGTAACATAATGTGCAAAAGGCACTTCTGATTTGCTCATATTGCTTACTGTATACAGACTTGCTGCCTGCCAGTACTGCAGGAACTATGAAAAAGTTATAAAGAGGCTCATTTGAGACTGGCCAGCTCCAGGTCCATGCCACTCTCACCAGCCGCCTGCAAGGAGCTGAGGATGAGGATGCCCAAGGTAGAGGCAGGATGGGACCCGTGGCTGGGCGCTGCCCGACGCAGATTGCAGAGAACTTCAACTATATCTCAGCCTAACGGGTTTGCACTCAGATCTTCTCCCTAAGCCTGGTCAAGGCGTCAAATGAAATAAACACCGAAAAGAGCTAACACTCTTCCGGCGACTAAGGGGAAAAAAAAAATATCCCTGATCCCTGCTTAACATCAACCCGTATAATAACTTAAGGGGAGTTTCAGTCTGGTGAAGGGTCGGCGTGTGCAGCCTGTCCCCTGTGTGCGGGATCCCGGCTCACAGCCCTTCGCTCCGGGCCGTGCCGCGCCCGGCGGCCCTGGGCCAGCGGCAGCCGCGTGTCCCCAGCCGGT